AATCGTGGGGAAGATTGGACCCCTGTTTGGCTACTCACCAAACGAAATGAACTGAGCACTCAGTTATCGGCTCCCAATAGGTACGAATCTCTGACTTCGCTCCGCTGCCTTGCGGGTGGGCTATTGAGCCAAAGGCTCGGAGTGGAGTCCCATAAGACAACTCCCTACTTCGGCTTGGGCAACCGGGTAGTATCCTGCCCTCTGTGAAAATCATGGCTATTTAAATTACTACTACGTCGCTTACTTCTGCTGCCACTTTCGCCGCTACTCGTGCTAAACCATAACACGCCAACTTTTCTCCTGTTTAGAATCTACAACCTGTTGAATCTACTTCCAATGCCCGTCTCGTTAGTATCCAAATCATCCAGCTAGCAGCTATCCTTCGGCCCCGTACTTCATTCCGTCTGGCAGCTTTCAATGTTCGGACCCTCCTACAGATTGGACAACAGGCTGGCCCGGCGCGCACTCTAGAGTCCCTCGCTATCGATGTTTGTTGTGCTTCAGAGACTCGACTACAGGATCCCAGCACCGTGGTTAACTTGTCGTCTCCAGTTGCTCTTGAGGTCACATATTACCTACATCTGTCTAGTGACATGGAGGCAGCAGCAGCCGGTTTAACTGGTGTTGGTCACGCTTGAGTGACAAAGCGCAGACTGCATTACTCGACTGGTTTCCAATCGACAGTCGGCTGTGTGCAGTTCGGCTTCAAGGCTCATGTAGAATCAACAGACATCGTGAAGAGAGGCGCCAACTGAGATGCTTGGGCCACCTTTTACACGTCATACGAACGGCTGCCTCGACGCGCTCTCTTCGCTCATGAAGGACTTGTTTGGAAGAAATCGCGCTGTGGGCAGTCTATCACGTGGTGGCGAATGATTAAAGCGCTGAGTTCTAGTTTGGCCGTCGTAGATTTCGTCTATCTTCCGGGCTGGGGGATCAAAGATGAAGAACACCGCTGACTGGAAACTCTCTCGGAGATGACACAGGACCGGGCCCAATAGAAAACGTGCACAAATGTTTGCCTTGACCTGCTTGATTGACATAGCTAACATTAAACAGACGAAAAAGATAAAATGACATGTGTAAAAAGAACAAAAGAAAGGACAAGCTCAAAAAACTATTTTGCAACTTTCCTTTTTTCGGTACGGTCTCTGTATATATTACTTTCTTTCAGGCTTTTCGCTGGTTCTATGTCTGTGTTATAGGCACCACACAAAAGGAACTCATGCACATCCCTCTTTGGCAAGTACTCTGGTTAATCAACAGAAATCATTCTCCGAGGGGTCGGTAAATGTTATTTCTCCACTCTTGACTTGTAAACCAGATTTATACCGCAAACCTCTGCAAATTACTGTACATTACTGAACCTGAATATTCAGTATGCAGAAACCAATTTTACAAAGATTTCAATAGTGCTTTCAGATAAAAAAATCTTGTTTTGATTTCTTTCTTTACCGTTTTGATACATGATATGACAATTATGTGCAGTATCTAGATTCAAAATATAGTATCACGGGGTATCGAGATAAGAAAGAATGGCGTCACGATAATCGCTGGTCGATGTGGCTGACATACTTCAATCTATGGACAACGTTAAAAGAACAAATATAACTTTGCTGATCCTGAACAGTAGTTGAATTAGAAATCTCACCAGTAGTTGCCAGTCACTTTACACACAAAAACATTACACTCCGGTTTCAGTAGTCATTATTGTTGCACTGGCACATTATTGGCTGCTACGGAGATTGGGATGGGTTTGCCATGGGTACTAGGTACTGCATTCTGCGTCACTGTGCTAACACGAGAAGGGCATATTTTGTTGCGTAGTGTTGGAACGTTTTCTGGCGTGGGAATTGTCTGTCCAACTGCGGCCTCTCTTCCACATGGAAGCACGTTTTTTGCCATATTGTAATCACCGGAATCGAAAAACTTGACCTGTTCAAAATAAGCATTGATAATAAGTATGTATTAAAGACGCGTAGGAAATACTTATGGTCTTTACTGACCATGCGAAATAAATTTAAATGTAGTTTCGTATTGTTGTAGCGTTAATTTTTGGGTACACTATGATGATGACGTCAAAAATTACTCTAAATATTTTGCATTCAACGATTAATGAAGTGAACCGGGTTTTCAATAACATTTGGGTATTATGGATGTCAAGGGTAAAAATCACTTGCCTACAGGCGGAAAAATGAAGTCGCTGACTACTAGCTCGGGTGTTGACGAGTTGTTTAGCTTTCTATAATAAAGCTCATCCGACCCACCTTGTGCTTCACTAAAAACATTACATGTTTTGTTCACAACCACCAGTAGTGGCGTTATTTCTCATCACCTCCTATTGTGTCGATATTTTGCATGATGTTAGCTCCTTGATTATTCCACGTGGAAAACCAAAAGTAAAATTTCGCAAATCTACAGCCCTACCATCACATAGTGACCAACAGTTTGTGATTGCCTGATATTAGAAAGGTAGACGCTTTCCGCTCCTAGTTTTGGTTTGATACTGTAAACCTTATGAGTGGTACTCGTACATCTCTATGTCACTGTTTTGGTCCAGTCTTCTTAGTTTAAGCTGACATGGAAGCGATAAATTTTTGCAGTTCTTAATGCGTTGTAATTTTTGATAGCAATAGCAATGATCACAGTTTCAGTGCACCTTTAGCGACACATATCTAATCATCACTGGTGTGATAATCCAACTCCGTGTTATTTTATTAAACACAACAACGGGTTATAACTTTTTAAAACAGTTATGTTTGTTTTTGGCGTAAGGATCCATGTTTATTTATATGGTTAGCAGCATCCAGTTCCGGATTTGCCTATCATTGCGGCCAGCCACAGGACGCCTGCGCCTACACAGGGACCATGAGTAGCTTGCGCTGCACCACCCACAGCTCCAACCACACACCCCATATCCAGTGTAAACCCGAACTAATAATACCGGGAGACATGTGGATGGGAGCCAGGTTCCATCAACGGAGCCGGGTCACACTCCCTAATAGGTAAACACAAGCAAGCTGTATTTGTGAATCAAGCGCACACAGGGCGGTGGCTGGACTGTAGCCCGCTCCACACTGAGTGCATAGAACCACTCTTTGAGCCTAGCACGGTCACAAAGACCGTGCACCTCACTTCTTCTAGCAACGACCAACTGTCTCTGGAACCAGTATGGATGACGTAATTGGTAATAGACAAGTAAACGCCTTGTAAACACGCACATCAAGCGCAGCCACATCAGGGATATCAAGCAACAGCCAGTCACTTAAAACTATGATATCAAATAAAATAAAGTGATTGATGCATAGTGATATGGTGACATAACTCTTCACTAAATGAGCATATGAAATAACGATTGCCGAAAATCCTCGATTTGTTCAAGACGTCAGCAAATGCTTTTGAATAAAATGCCACAAATACAAAAATGTTAGTGAAGTTAATCACAACCAGCTTAACCGACTTGTGCAGGTTACCAGTAGATAGTTCAGGTAAACATTAATATAAGGTAAAGAAAGGCATTAGGACAGTATAGTAAACTCACCACCTGAAATGATGTGACAGCATGCAAGCACGTGGTTAGTAGATCGCATTCAGCGTATCTACAAACACTACGCCCATTCTGCCTACGTTTTCTGCAGGACTCATAGTCGTTTCTGTGGTGGCCCCGAGTGGCTACGCTGATGGCTCACGAGGCCTGCCTGACGCACGCACTCGCCACCGCATGTGTTACAGCGCCATGCGCTCGATGTCGATGGAGTACAACCTATCGGGGCTGACCGCTTCCTCAGTTGCCGCTTCTTCTCTTCATGCACGAGTGCTTTTTCTTGCACTTCGGCAAGGGTTTTCGTGCTCCGATCGCGCCATGCACGCCGATCAACCGCTTTCGATTCCCATGGCCTGCAATCAAGGTTAGATTGTGAAAGGCTCACTTTGATCATGTCCTGGCGACGAAGCTTCGGTTTCCCCACATGCCGCTTTCTTGAACTCAGTTGATCATGTAATAGCTGTTTCAGTATCCGCGTCGAATCCATAAGCCACACATAACCGACCCGCCTCAAATGTCTCAGCAAAAGTATACAGCTCACTGAAAACCTTCCACTTCGGCGCAAAGCTTCCTTGTCCGCAACTGTCACACCAACCAATGAGCAGGATCCGTGGCAGACACTGTTGATGGAACCGCTCGAGATACCGCACATCGCGCCGGTGTATCGTCCACGTTTCTCTGCCGTATAATAGAACGAACAGCACTATGGATTTGCGCACCATCCGATTCATACCGACGGTATGCTGACGGTTGTTCCACACTCGGTACTGTAGCTTCCCGAATGCCGCCGCTGTCTTAGAGAAGCGGATGCAAAGATCACTGTGAAGCTTCTGGTCAGTCGACATCGCACTCCCAAGGTAGCAGAAGCAGGAGGTGGTTTCCAATACGTCATCACTAACATGCATATTCACTCACAATTGAGCGGTATGCTTCGAATCGCCTGTACCCATGTTTCCGAAGCAGAAGTTTGTTGCCCCCTACTGCATTACTTTGGCAGCAAATTCACTGTTTCGTTGATATGAGAGATGGCTGATGTACCAACGAAAGATATGAATGAATTGCATGACGATTTATGGAGATGAATACTGAGTAACGTGAAAGTCGAAAATGTTGACCACAATTTATCAGCATGTATCATTAAACAACACTTACGTTTTTGCTTAAACGGCGTTGCAGAAGCGCTGATGCCCTGTTTTTTGCAAACGGATATTTATCTTTGAATGCTTGCCCGTCTGGAGCGTTTGGCACAGGCTCATTTTTTAATTCATTCATTTGACAGTTTTATACGTTGTGCCTGATTTATAGATGAGGTATTTTCAATGAGCTGTAATGAAAAATAAGTTATGAGATAAATTCAGGCTTTTGCGAAACATACTTCAATACAGCAGAGACACAGCTGAGTGACTTATAGTCGGCAGACATGAACATATCGCGATACACATGCTTTTGTACATGTAAACAGCTGTCATACATCATGTAAAACCAAGCATCGGAGTGAACATATGTATACTATCCACAAAATGAAGTTACTTAGCTTATTAAGATTGGCAAAAGCTGTTTTTCATAAACTGTATTTAGCTTTACAGTATAAAAGACAAAAGTAATGTTTGGTTCGAAACATACTAATCTGCCAATATCCAACATTTATAATTTAGCCTACAATCCCATTGTTATTCCACCTAATGTACTACTATAGGAAACAAACGCAGGAAATTCGTGGCGGCTCCTACTCAACTAGGGAGCGATCTTTAAATCCCAATGTGGTAATGGCATATAATCAGGTATCTGGTAAAATCTATGCGGATTGAAAATAATTTTATAGGTTGGTTGACAATTTTCCTGCCTGTTCAAATTGTAAAAATATTTGAGAGGATCTCGACGATGTGTTATAAGCAAGCGTGCGGACTGTGTGATCGGAGGTCGGAAAAACTGGTGTGGTTTCGGTAGGTTCTGTGGTACAAATTGTACATAGCAACGGTTGCGTAGCGACATTGCCAAGGTGGATGAATGTGTGAAACTTGTAAACTAGGTTTAAGATGGCTTTGGAAATAGCATTGTATGTGAGTTACGATGCCGAAAAAATGATAACCTGTATTGGTGCATGTGCGAGTGTTTGTTTTGTTTTTTCGGTGGCCATACTGGTTTTTCCTGCAGTCGCTATGGTTGTCGATGATAGTGAGCTGTTCGGGTGTTTGGTTATTGGGAAGTATGAACGTGTTGAGGACCTTGAGAAGCGTTTGGAACGTTTTCAGATTGAAACGGCGACTGGTTTTTCCCGTGCATCCTCCAAGTCTGCTGCCGCATACCATCGTGGAATGAGGAAGCCAGTGCCCGAGGTGGAATGCTACCGTGACATCATGTACCGTTGCGTTCATGGTAAACGTTCAGGATCACGTTGCAAGCGGTAAGTTGGTCTTATTTTGTCGCAAGGCCACTAACGCATGTAGATACAAATGCAACTATTGCAAGGCTCACTTCTCCGTAATTTTCAAGAAACGTAAGTATGCCGTGCAAAGTTACCTAATGACGCATAGTCATGATTTTCACTTGGGTAACGCATGGTTGTATGCACGGAACCGTCGTATTTCTCCGGTGCAAATGGAGGAGGTTTTGCGTTTGATGTACAGTTTCCGTAGCACAACAGGTTTGCGTCGTTGTATGTACCAGGAGTACGGCAAACGAGTAACCATGGTTTTGACCTGTACAATTTGGGCATTCGTCATCGGGATGCAAACGCTTGTTAGGTGTCGGACGTGGAAACAATGTTGGAAGGGCACGGTGTGTGTCCATTGGTGTTGGAGGACGTTGACATACGTTATGTGTTTTTCGCCCCATCGTTAGTCCGCGGCATTGTGAATCGTTAGGGTGAGGTGCTGTTATGCGACGTGACGCAGCAGCTCAATTATGGTGGTTACAATTTGTGGCATTGCAAGCTGGTAAATGTCACAGGTCTGGGGAGTTCCTTTTTCTACGCCCTGTTACCCGATGAGACTTCCTACCGGTATTGGCAAGCGGTCGCTGCGATGCGGGAGATGGTGTCTAGCACCGTACGTTGCCACCCAGTGGTGGTGGATAAGTGCGCTGCTCACATCCTGGCTTTCAGTGGTTTTGTAGGAGCGCTGCTTAGGTGCGGAGTCCAAAAATAGCCATGTCCCGTCGTTCTTACTGGACGTTAGAAATAAAAGCTTGTTGGTATCCCAATGATATATTTTGGGAGGCTCCCGAAAATACACTACGACAGTAGGGCAGAAAGATTACACAGGGAAAACACAGGTGGTGTTTGGCTAGATGGTATAAGCCAGAGTTCAAAGTAAGTTGTCCATTGATTGTATACACATCAATAGCTTTTGAATGATGTGGTTAGAGTCACATGATTGTGGCTAGTATCTTCCCTGTGCGAAGAGAAATAAGCTAAAAATAGCAAAATAAGTTAAAGCTCCTACATACCTCCCCACCAGTGCGGTAGCCGCACGGTGATAAGCGACCAGGAGTAAAAAACCCGGTGGGAATTGCCGGGAAAACTGACCTCTACCTGGTACAGTGTCGCTTAAAATGCCCGAGGCTGAGGCACAGGAGGCATGCAGGTAAAGTTGTTAGCGAAGATACAATGAAAATGTGGGAGCAGAATGTAGTAGTGCAACAAGGATGTTTGAGTTGCGAGTGTTGTCCAACGCAATCCTTCTGCCTTTTGTCGACATGAGAATCTTCTTATTCAAGCTTAGGTTGTTCTTTCCTCTCCTGGCAAACACTGGAAAGCAACAAGCAGGAAAGAAAACTGGCAGCAGGTAGTATAACAAGATAGACAGCACGGCAAGTTGTTATTCTCAAGATGTCTAATACGCTAGACGGTCTGGAAAATGAACTTTTCTACCTGACCGTGTTTGCCGCGTACTAGTCTCTTTTGGCTTAGCTTCAGATGTTGATGATTGAGGATCATTTTCAAAGTGCTTTGATGACTCCTGTGTACATATGGTGTTTTTAGAACCTGTCGATTGTTTTTCACAAGGTTGTTCTATATACGCTGGCTTGAGTCGGTCTACCGAAACTACATCGACTTTACCATTCCTGTTGATCATATGATGTTTTTCTGTTCTAGCGATCACCTCAAATGGCCCTTCGTACGGTGGTTGTAGAGGCCTGCGGACTGCATCGTTTCGTAGCCACACATGCGAACAAGTTGTCAGATCTTTTGGTATATAACACTTGTTAGTTTGTGCTCGTGAGGCAGTAAAATGCAGTTCACGCATGGATGAACGTAAGCGATGAACAAAGTTTGAGGGATCTAGAGCGTTGAAGTCGATGGGTTGAACGAGGTCAGCCGGGAGCTTTAACGTGGTACCGTATACCAGCTCCGCGGCAGAGCAACCTAAATCAGCTTTAAACGTCGTTCGTAGACCTAATAGAACCAGCGGTAAGTTTTCTGTCCAACGGGTAGTGTCAGAACATGCCATCAAAGATGTTTTGAGGTGGCGGTGAAAACGTTCGACTAACCCGTTCGCTGTTGGATTGTACGCAGTTGTTCTTATTCGCTTAGCTCCGAGGATATTAGTGAGATCTCGAAAGAGGGTTGATTCAAATTGCGCACCGCGATCCGTTGTTATGGTGGATGGGACACCATAATGTGCGATCCAATGAGACACAAAGTTACGTGCTACCGTCTCTGCGGAAATGTCCGCGATGGGTACTGCCACGGGCCAACGAGTGTAACGATCGATGCAAGTAAGTAGGTACTTAAATCCACTCGACGGCGGCAGCGGACCGACGGTGTCAATGTGCACGTGACTAAAACGAGCATCGGGAACGGTGAACTCGCCAAGAGGTGCCTGTGTATGGCGGTGCACTTTTGAACGCTGACATGGGAGACAATTCCTCACCATGGTCTGCACGTCTTTGTTCAGTGCCGGCCACACGAAACGATCGGAGATGAGTTTGCGCGTTGCACGGATGCCTGGATGTGATAGACCATGCAATATACGTATATTTATGCCATTACATATACATATATACATACATAAATATGTAAAAATATATATATATCCACATGTACGCATACATATACGCAGATATACATATCTGCTAGTCTCCATTCAATTACATATATATGTAAACCTATATTTCCGTATATATATATATATACACATATATACATATATATATATATGTAGAAGGGGTAATATCAGGCGTAGATTTAAAACAATGTCCATCTATAATTATGCATATATATATATATATATATATATATATAAAGAGAGATAGAGCGTTATATGTGTGCCTTCTTGATATATATAT